CCGACCTGAAAAATTTATTCAAATTAAAATGATCACCAGACACCCCAGCCAATCATCCTTACCGCCCCGATACAACAAGCAGGTATTTCATCACCGCGCAGGTAATGATCAGGTATTGATCTTTCCATTACGCCATCTGCAATGATTCGACCAGCTATACCCGCACATACAGCCGTTAAACGACGTATAACTTTCCAGAAGTCTTCTGTCGCCTCCATTGGAATCAGAGTCTTCTAATAACAACTCAAACACCGATTCGAGTTACCGCATTTAAAACTTGATAGACTGTCTGGTTGACTGTTCAAAATGAACTCAAGGCAAAGCAGTCAGGGCAATATTCAAGCAATCCCCGACGATCATGAATTCGCCACGTAACCTAATTCAGGCAAACTTTTCGTAAAACCAGGTAATCATATCGCTTCTTTTATAGTTGTTGCGTTCAGAAACGCCCACCTGTTCATTGTTACCGCTTTCCGCTTCTCACCAAGGTTACTTCCATGCGCTCCAAGCACACCAGGCGTCGCATTCAATGTCAGTGGCCCAATAACTTACGTCTTTGTGTGTACTGTACATAACTTTGCTTTGATATATAATTTTTTCGCTTCTAACTCACCCAAATACGTTTAGTTCAAGAATGTTTGAAGAATGTCAGAGTCCTCTGTGAGGTCGCAGAACCTTCTGAGTAGCTTAGTGTCAGTGTTTATCTAAATGCAAGCCTACTTTAAAGAAATAATGTAATGGACTGATGCTCCGGGTGTCACAAATTATGACCACGTGGCTAAGGTAAGCGTAATTTTTCGTCTTTCTGTGTTTTTATGCGGCTGTGTTACTTCCTGGCAAACTGTACATCAATTTGGTCGATTTTTAGCTATCCTGAGAATCTGTATTAATTATATCCGGCCGACTTTGGCTCTTTGCATAGTGCTCTGTCGAATTCATTATAAGTGAAGTTGCCCTGGACGGGTAAATAAAAAATAAATCGTTCGGTGAAAGCACCCCGTCAGCTGCCGTACCACATGAGGGAAGCATGAGAGATGGGATACTGCCAGGTTGCCCAAGCATAGACAGGGGAAGTAGGGAGGCGGAGGTCGGATTCGAACCACAGTCCTTCCGGTCACCAAATTCACGCTCTAACCACTGAGCCATCTTGCCCCCCTGGTCGGACACAGAAATAGTCACTCTCATTTAAACCACTGTATCGCAAATTAGTTGAAAGCCGGACGAGATGAGGTATCAGCGACGATTTTAAGATGTTATGAAACGTGGCGAATGTCACTGGTGAATTGGAATATACAATCAAGGTGACGTATTTCGCTGAGATTAATATTTATCAGGCTTGGCTAGTAAGGCTGACATAAACGGCTTATGATCTGTATAGATGCAAAACTCGCGTCCTTCCAGCAAATGGCGGAAACGGCGGATCGATAGGTAAATGGCTAACAGTCCTCTATCAAATGTATTGTAATGTGATTCGGTGGGTGATAGGTCATAGGATAAAATGCAAGTGGCTGATGCACATTATTGATAATCTGAAGCAAAACTGTGCCTACAGCATGTTTAGAAGAATCAATGTTGAGTGATAGAAAGGGATCATGTTGTAAGTGGAATAGTTTGAGAGAGTCATCTAGGGAGACTTTGATTTGCTCAAAGGCAGATATGGCTGAATTGGTCAATCGGGAAGCTTTGGGGTTTTCAGATAAAAGATTTGTCAGTGTTACTAATAAGGAATCAGCTTTAGGAATGAAGGGTTTGTAGAAGTCCGTCATTCCCAAGAAGCCTATGGGCTGCTTAAATGAGGTATGAGAAGGAAAATTGCGGATAATGGTAAACTTATCATTGGCAGACCATATACCATCTTGATCAATCGTATGGCCAATAAAGTTTAACAAATTACAACCAAAAGTAAATTTTGAGAATTAATTACCACACCATGATTGCTTAGTCCAGTAAATAAGAGACGTAAGTGTTCAATGTGACGTTCATTGCTAGGACTAGCAAACAAACCAGATAGCACTCAATCAATCAAACGCTGAAAAGTATGGGCTGTATTACGAAGGCCAAAAGGCATGCGCAAACATTCGAATAGCCCAAATGGTGCGGAGGTGTTGGTAATAGCTGTTTTATGAACATCTTCTGGATGTACAGGTATGTGGTGATAAGCTCGTAGGATGCCAATATGTAAAAAACAGTACATCCGTTTAAAAAAGAAAAATCATGCAGGTGTGGGATAGAGTAGCGGTCGAGTATGGTGACATTGCTGAGCGCACGGTAGTCACTGCAAAGACACCAGTCTGAGGACGTTTTCTTAGGTGCCGTATGGCGAGGTGAAGTCCACGTGCTTCAAGGTCTGATGATACCTAGTGGAAGCATATGCTGAAATTCGCACTTGGCTATGTAACTTTTTATGAGCAAAACTGGGTTTGATTAAAATCTGAAAATACATTGAGCAATCCGTCATAAGCTAAGTCACCACTTCTACAGATTGCCATTGGAAAAATTGACGGTAAAGTAATAGGCCATCCTATTACAAACAGTAAAGTGTAAGCACTGGTAAAATGTTATTGCCTTAGACTAACCAAAATGTTAAAATCTGTGACACAATCGGTGCTAACGATAGATTGGTGTACGCCAGCGGTGACAAAAATCCGCGTAAACTCACGGTGTAAACCAAGATTAACTCGTAAAACACGCTGTACGCAAGTCTCCATAGAACTATTGGTGGCAGTTAGAGTAAAAGTAGGAGGTTTGGAGTCGTAACAAGCGGCGGATAAGGAAATAACGTTGATGTTATCTCCAGTGTCAATAAAAAATGAGGTTAGAAGTCTTGTTAAAAACGGTGAGGTGGCGAGTAACATAAGGAGAGCAGCGAACTTCAATTGCCTCTATGGTTGTGTCCATGTGTTTTCCAGAATTGACCAGGGGGTACGTGGTTATTTCGGAAAAAAACACGATTGGGAAAATTTGCGTGCATGATGTCTGGAAGATCTATTGTACTATCACTGACTAGTTCTCCTTGTGGGCGAATGTGGTCGAGAACGCGAAAGTGGACGCGACAGCGTACGTTGAAATCGGTAAGTTCGAAACAAGCAAATGAATTCTACCTGATTAAGTAGCGTTTCAAAATGAGCATAAAAATGGACACAAAAGCTAGTGTATCTAAAGAAAGAGCACGGTTGGATTTCGGTTTTTATCTGTTAAACTGGCAAGTCCAGCAAGTGGAATAACTTCTGAACTGGAAGCGAGAATCAATTGTAAGTAGACGGGTAAACATTTCGAAAAGTTGTTTAAACAAGACTGTATCAATTTCGTGGCTCCATATAATGTTGTAACAGTTGAAATGGGGTAGAGCTATCGATAGGTTTCTCCGCTAAGTAGTTGTTCCAGTCGTTTATGTTCGGATAAACTACATCGTTTCGTGATGACGGTACGTAATCGAGTTTACGGCTTGGTGCCATCAGAGTCAATTAAAATGTTGCGTAAATTGGCTGCTATTTAAGGAGGGAGTAGTACTAACACATGATAACTAACACATGGTACATAGTGTTCTCTTGGCAAACTGAGCGTGAATTGGAGTGGATCATATACATGCGATATGGTGCCAGAATGGTGAAAGATAAACAGAGGCGGTGTTGCTGTTGGGTCTCAGAGCGATTGAAGGTGAGGGAATATCTAGTGCTGGAGGATCTTGTACGAGTCATGTCGGGCTCACCAATTGTTAGTGATCTGGTTGCGACGTAATAAAGTTGATTATCAGAAGACAACAAGCACTAACAAATGTTTGTTTGACCAGAATGATGATGATTGCAAAATTTATGTACCTCTTATGAAAAACAGTGCGAAACTGGAGTAAGCCTAAAAGTGACTTATCATTTAAGGACAACTGTTGGCAGCTATTGAGTGAAGTTTTTGACGTGTCTTCTCTGCAATATAGCAGCTGCACGTAGTTGAGCGTAATTGTCCGCAGAGACTTGTGGAGCTCGGGTAACTAGCTGTCCTGTATGCACGCGTTACACGCCTATTTATTGTGTGCATTGCGAAGAGAGGGGTGTCCATTCGTGCTTGATACTTGCACGAACATCAATAAAACTTTGTCTGATGTGATTGAAGTTTGTAAGCCTAGCGCGTGATGTAGGTGGTAGCCGCGTTAACTAAACTGGACGGAAAACTGTAGTGTACATGCTGTCGACTGGGGTTGCAAGTGAGACAGAAATTGTTACGTGAGTTAAGTGTTCGTGACGCGTGATCTGATAAGTGACCGCTACATGTCATCTGACTAGCAGGTTCTTCCTAGCTATCCAGTTAAACATCCTATCGTGCAACTTCTCAGTCATTGTAGAGAAAGTGGAGTATAACGACAACGCGGCACTTAGAATACTTATACTAGGGGGTCAGTTAGGTTCTCCAAGCAGAGAGTGAAGGCTCATCCCATTTTCGCCATATTCGCTTCCGTTTTATTAACTTTAATTTCAGTGAGAGTGCGTCATGTCCTCTTTTTGCTGCTTCGTGTCCCCTATACAAATTCATTTCCACAACGCCCTCACAGAATTCACCCACCACACTTCCTTGTGAGAGGGTTATTCACCAACCTGCATAGTGATCAATTTCCATTGAGAAAGTTTTCTGCAGTGAATTGTACTTCACTTTTGACTATTTGTATATTCATGCTATGTTTTGTACGGTAGCCTGTCGTTCGATTTTATTCCCGTTCCTGTAGACCCCGCCGCCGCCGCCTATGCACTTGATTTCAGCTTTCAGTTCCAGTCCTCTAAAATATACTGACTGTTCCTCAATAAGTGCGATCTGTAAACTCATAATGAACACTCATATGGAGAGATATTCTGTTCCTATAAGCGAGATTCTATCGAACGACTCGACGAACTGATGAAAAAATTTGGACTCCCACCATTCTGACAACGTATTTAACGCGGTGCATTATTTGCCTAGGTGTTGATGGAATGGATCCAGATAAAATCACCCAGTATATCGCGCGGAAGACTTACCAAAATATACAACATCGATGAGGAAGGTAAAATTTGATCATACAGAGGATTTTCGCCTGCTAGTTCGCACACAATCTGTGAAATGTTGTTCCAGTATAAAATGAATAGCACGACCTGTAGATGGAGGTAATATGTAGCATGGTAACTCACTGATTCGGCGATGAGTATGCGCGACACCGGTCTCAAGGTCCTTTGCTTTTTCAAAAGCAAGTGTGTTGCATATGGTATGCATATAAATGTGCCGTAAAATATATACAAACACGGAACAATAAACAGTATTTGACATCGCGGAATGTATGGTATAGGTCTGTTCCACATTTCCACCCATTCCTGTGGGTTATGTAAAAAGCCTGACAGAACTTACCCTCAAAGTATCATTGCACACCTTGTGAGGCAAATGCGCCATCACAACCTCACATGATAATCAGGGCACACTTTTAAAGGAGCGACACTCAAAGTTGATGGATGGACCAATAATGGTGCAGTAAAACGCTTCAGTTTGACATCACATTGAAATTAGCAGCAGACAGAAAGTAAGTGGGTATTAGTTTAATTACAATTACACATAAGAAGGGGGTATGTGAACCGTATGTTTCGCTCGGCTGTCGGTGTTTCGGGTTGCGGAAGAAATAGTGTTGGAGCGCTAGTTCAAATAGTACTTCGGTTTTCCACCAAATTCTGCCGTGGGCTAGACGCACACCCAAAATTTCTCTGAAACCGTGGTTCGAAGAAGGGAATCTTTAACATAAATTTTTAACACTTGATGGTAATTTTTTGGGCGTATGAGATCTTTCCAAACGGCCGCAGTTTTGTTGAAAGTCGTTTAAGTATATTCAACCCCAGCGATATACAAGGCCCGCGATATTCATATTTTAAATGACTGCTATCGCTGAGTACGTGAGTGCGGGGGATGATTTTGTGGAGAATTTAGCTCGTCAAACTTTTTTTTCTCATTCAATGCATTTCAATTCGCTTTGAGAGAGTACCAGACGAAGCATTTCGTTGTTTTCGTCCGTATAAACTCCAAAAAGAGCAGCAATTCGTACTTTTGTATGAAAAAGCCTTCTACCGTTGCAGCAGACAACCCTGAAGACGAAGCAGAAGCCGTGGAATTCGTCGCACCTAGTAAGTTGTGTGTGCGTTGTAGCACACGTCGTACTGATTGTCCGGCAAGGTTCAGCGTTCGCCGGTACCATGACTGCTTGAGGGTTACTTCCTACTACCTCGAGCACAACCATCCACGCAGCAAGCTTATTTTTGACAGGCTCCCCATCAACCGGCGGCTGACAAATGATGAATTAAAGGAGTGTTCTACCCTTCTGGAATATGGTGCTCTGTCATCGGAGATTCGGCAGTACGTCGCCGAACACTTTGCAAAGGTACTCACTATGAAGGATCTGCTTAACTATGGCGTCAAATGTCGACCCCCATTGTTAAGTAGGCCATTGGTTACCTTTTAGTCGGTTTTTTAGATGACATGTCGTCCATCATAGCTAAGTTTCAAGAGTGCGGTAGCGTGCTGCTGGTGGAATCGGATGGTGGCAGATATAGTCACCTGTGCCTTTCTCGAACGCAGCAGATAGCACTCTTTAGAGGTTTCACGGACGTCTGCACAAGCAGCTTTATCGGTTGGTTGGCAAACTGAAGCTGCTGGAACCGCGTAAGGCTGCT